CACGCAGGGGTGGGAGCCCCGGGCCGTCCGGCGGCTGCGCCCCATCCCTTTTGAAGTGCTGCTGCAGCTACTGCTGCTGTTGCTGATTTTTGAGAGAGATTTTTGCTATAGGGAGCGTGCACTTGCCAGAGAGAAGAGAAACAGAAAGCGAGAAATCACCCCTCCCCACACACAGGAGGTATGGCCAGGCTGCAATCCCTTCTCCTCCAGTCTCCTCTCAGGATTTGAGCTTGCATGCACACGTGCCTGGTGTGAGTTTTAAGTCTCTGCGTCCAGGGCTGGAACCATGGTTGACTACGTGGGAGTCCAGTGACATCACCGTTATGCCATCTCTGGTCCTAAAATACCGATTATTTTGGCTGCCTTATTCTGGTCTTTGCTCATTTGTGTGTGTGACTTTATGCATTTTCAATCATGTAAAGCCATAATAAGAGCTCTCATTCAGTGAGTGTTTAATATGAAGTATGTAACAGTACTTTTAAAAATATTTATCAGACTTGCACTTAGATATAAGAACTATAATGCTGGAGTTCCAGTTGTACTTATTGCAGTGTTTACAGTGAGTGTTCACATCGTTAGGTGCTGTTCTGCGTGCTCTCCAGCAGTGACTGACTTAACCTGTACAACGTTATGAGTAGACAGACACAGCTCCAATTCATTGTTGAGAGAACTGAGGCTTACCGGGGTTAAGTGACTTGGCTAAGGTAACACAGCAAATACCTGTATCTGGATTCACACTTAAATTTCTCCCTCTCTCTTTCTCTCCCTCTCTCTCTCTTTTTTTTTTTTTTTGTTTTTATTTGCTGTAGTGTACATGTACTCATCAGAGAGAAAGTAAGAGAAAGTGAGAAATCACTCCCCACCCCCCCAGGGGAGATGGCCACCCTGAAATCCCTTCTCTTCCAGTCTCGGGATTTGGGGCATACATGTACATGCGCCCAGAATGATTTTCAAGGTCTGATGCAGTTGGCCCTGTGGGATCCACCATAACCTCCGTGCCACCTGTGAGCCTGAAATAGGCTCTCTTTAAACAGAAATGTGCCTCCCTCCTAGGGAGTCTTACTCTAGTCTGTCTTCCTTCTTATTTTCTTTATACACATTTATCGAAGACCTCTCATGCCAGGTTCCTAGAGGAGGCAGGAATGTGGCCTAGGTCTTCCTCAGGGCACCCACATCCAGGCAGAGTGCAGCTGAGTCCAGCCTTGTGCTGTAATGATGGCAGAAAAAATGCTTCATAGCACTGGAAGGTCATGAGTACTAATACCTGGAAAGGTGGGGTGGAGGGACTTCCTTGTCTGAGGTACGATATTATGAGACAGGCATGTGGGAAGGATGTTTCAGCCTGAGGGACACAACTGGACTAAAGGCATGAGCAGTGGTAGAAGGTGGCCCTTGAAATTTTAGTTTGGGGGATTTGACTTCTTGGCTAAGGATGTTAGATGGTATCCAGATGTAGGGGACCGTTAGCAGGTGTTCAGCAGAGAAGTGACTCAGTCAAGGTCATGCGTTAGAGATACCTCTCAGGTGCAGTGGGAAGGACCATTTGGAGGGAGGGATAGTGAATGCAGAGACTAACAAAGAGGTAGTTGCAGTCAGCCAGGTAAGAGACAGCAAGACTCAAATGGAAAGGAAAGCGTCCAGCCAAGAAACTCTTGAGCAAAAGTGAATTTGGGAGAGGAGCATGGGCCCAGGTGTCTAACCTCGATCACTGGCAGGGCCATCTTTACCCAGAACTGGAAATGTGGGAGAGGACAGGCTAAGGTAGAAATCGAGATGCACCTGGACTTGTGGCTGCAGCTGCAGAGGGAGCTGGCGAGAGCTGAAGTGCTTGTGTTTGTGTTTCAGATGGTGACCCTCTTTCAGATGTGGGTTGTTCCCCTCTATTTCACAGTGAAGCTGCACTGGTGGAGGTTCCTAGTGATCTGGATCTTGTTCTCTGCCGTCACAGCCTTTGTCACCTTCCGAGCCACCCGAAAACCTCTAGTTCAGACCACCCCAAGGTGAGAGTTTAGGAGTTGGGGAAGAGCCTGGGTTTCCTGAAGCTGAGGGGTTGGATTGCACAGGAGGGAGGTGCAGTTTTTGTCTGCCAGAATTTTGTGGTGTGGGGCCCTCCTAAAACAAGCTGATTGGGAGGCCCAGCCCTCTAGTCACAGTTAAAGAAAAACTCGCAAGTATTTTCCTAAAGCTTTCCTTCCCTTTTCCTTCCCTTTCCTTTTCCTTTTCCTTTTCCTTTTCCTTCCTTCCTTCCTTCCTTCCTTCCTTCCTTCCTTCCTTCCTTCCTTCTCTAGGTTTTTGCCATCAGGTATGGGTGTTCACCAGAGAAAGACAGAGAGGGAAAGTGAGAAATCACCCTGGGGGCGTGACCGTGCCACAGTCCCTTTTCCTGCATTCTCCTCTAGGGCTTTTGGGCATACATGCACACATGCATGATTTTCAAGCCACCAGGTCCAGGACTCGAACCACAGTCCACTGTGTGGGAGTCTAGCATCTTAACCACCATGTCACCTGCTGGTCCCCCCTAAATCTTACTTTATGGTTGATAGCAAGGTATATTTATATTATAAGCAAAATACATAAGCAAATCCTGATGATCATTTTAAATGTTATTTTCTTCTGTGAACATTCTCTGATCTCTAAATTAAAATTTTTGTTATATTCTCTCATAATGCCCTTTAGTTTTCCTTCACAGAACTTACCACAGCTCATAACTAAGTATTATTTTGAGTACCAGTCTCCCTCACTGAACTATATCTGTGAGATCAGGAACTACATCTATGTTGTTTGTCACTGTATGTCTAGCCCATCACAGAGCCAGGCACATAGTAGCCTGTTGTATGAGCTTTTGTTGAATAAATGAATTATAGCAGATTTTAAAAAATTTTCCAGCGGGATCAGCAGTTAGTGTAATGGCTATGTCACTGAACTCCCATGTAGCTGACCACGCCCGGACCTTGTGGCTTAAACTCATACTAGGCATGTATGTGTGCATGCCCAAGATCCCAAGAGGAGAATGGAGGAGAAGGGATTGTGGCATGGCCATCCCCCCCGGGGGGGGGGTGATTTCTCGCTTTCTATCTCTCTGTCTCTCTCTTTCTGGTGAGTGCACGCGCCCTATAGCAAAAACCTCTCCAAAAAAAAAAAATTTATTTTTTCCAGCACACAGTGTTTTCTCTTAGGGTCACAAAGCAGCTGCTTCCTATGTAATTCTTTGTATTTTATGCAAATCCATCTCTCATTTGATCCTCCCAACCTGCTTGTGAGGTCATTTAATATCTGCCCTTGACAGAAGAAGGAGAGCTTTCCCAATTAATCCACTTAGTAAGCGCCTGCTATGTGCCAGGCCCTGTACTGAACGCTGGATACAGAGCTGGCTAAGACATGGTGACATGGTCCCCGCCCTGAGGGAGTGTGCGTTTAGTGGAGGAGGTGCATGGGCAAGCACCTGCTGCAGGGCAGTTGCTAAGTGCTGTGACAAAGGTGCGCACCGGTCAGAGCCTCTCAGACCAACTGGCCCTCTGCAAAGTTGTGACCAGTGGATCTAGGGTCTTCCAAGTTGCAACTTGGTCCTCTTCCCGTGGCTTCATGTTCGTTTTTACCGCAAGCCTGAGTTTCCTGGTACAAGGTGAAGTTGGAGCTCCAGAAGCTCCCTCTGGCTTTGGTAGTTTCCTTTAAGGGCCTCTAGAGAAGATACAGACCCTGGAGCCAGATGGGTATAGGTTGGAACCCCAGCCCTGCCGCTCGTTAGCTGTATGACCTCACCTTTCTGGGTCTTGAATTTTTTTTTTTTGAGAAGTTTTTGCTATAGGGCGCGCCCGCTCGCCAGACAGACAGAGAGACAGAAAGCGAGAAATCATCCCCCAGGGGGGATGGCCACACTACAGTCCCTTCTCCATTCTCCTCTCGGGATCTTGGGCACGCACACACACGTGCCCGGCTTGAGTTTAAGCCACCAGGTTCGGGACTTGAACCGTGGTTGACTATGTCGGAGTCCAGCGACATAGCCATTACGCTAACTGCTGGTCCCTGGGTCTCGAATTTCTTATCTCTAAAAATGGGATAATAATTTCTATTTCATGTAGGGTTATATGAATAAAATGTATAATAAAGCATGTTGAGTGTCCTCAAGTAACTATCCATGTCTGGTTAAAATAATCAAAATCGTATCTATATTAAGAGACCTTTTTTTTTATTTTAAGGGTTTTTTTCTTTTCTTTTCTTTTTTTTTTTTTTTTGAAAGGTCTTTGCTATAGGGCTTGTGTGCTCACCAGAAAGTCAGAGAAAGAGAGACAGAAAGTGAGAAATCACATCCCTGGGGAAATGGCCACACCCCAACCCCCTCTCCTCCATTCTCCTCTTGGGGTCTTGGGCATGCATACGTTCCTGGAGTGAGTGTAAGCTGCCAGGTCCAGGACTTGAACTGTGGTTGACCACGTGAGAGTCCAGCAATGCAACCATTATGCCATCCGCTGGTCCATGGGACATTTTTTATAATAATAACTAACATGTAATAGTGCTTTGCAGTTTCAAAGCACTTTCATAAACGCTCATTTAGTCTTGCAACATTTAATGAACATATAAAGAATTAAGCTTGCCTAGAGAGGTGATTTGACTCACCTGAGGTTAGCTATTACTCAGCTAATAAAACTTCACTTAATCCAACTTATAGGTTGAGGGGCTGGCAGGTGGCATGGTGGTTTAGAGTGTTGGACTCCTACATAGCCGACTATAGTTTGAGTCCCAGACCTGGCGGCTTGCTTTCTCACTTTCTTTCCTTCTTTTTTTTTTTTTTGAATTTTTTTTATTTAACTTTAATTAATTAATTGATGATTTTAATTTTACCAGAGAGGGACAGAGTGAGAGAGAGAAAGAGAGGGAAAGTGAGAAAGCGAGCTGCCAGGTCCAGGACTCGAACCACAGTTGGCCATGTGGGAGTCTAGCACTCTTAACCATCACGCTACCTGCTGCCTCCACTTTCTCTCTTGTTCTCTCACTCGTCCCTCTCTAGTCAAAGTAAAATAAGTTAATAAATAAAGTTAGATAGAATTTAAAAGAAACTATGGGTTGACATAAAATTCTGTCTTTTTTGTGGTGTCTTTTCCTTATGATCAGTGCAGAACTCTGGATCATGGAGCTGTGGTTGGTTTTTGAGGGCAACCCTGCAAAATGTTTGGGTCTTTCCTAGCTCGAGAAGCCTGAATCACCATAGTGGGGAGGCACAGGCAGGGGAACTTTGAGCTTCCTCGCTGGGGCACAGCAGGGTTGGTAGTGAACACGTGGGACCAGCCAGCCTTCTGCTGGTTATTCAAGCAGATTGCTACGTTGCTTATGGCGCTTGTCGCAGACAGAACAGCGGCTCCTGCTATGAGGACCCGGTGCACGGAGAGCCACGTTTGCTCTCTGAATCTAGCCAGGGTCACCCCACCAGATTCTGCACTGCTCCTCACTGGGTCCTGGGGCGCACTACCCCTCCTTCAGGGGCATGAGCAGCCTGACTCCACTGCTGCCACCACCACACACCTGTCCAGTTCAGAGGTCCATTTGAGTATTTCCTTCCTTATCCCTTCTTCTCCAGGAATGAAAAAATAAAACTTGTGAAGCAAATTTATTAGGCATCACTTCCATCATTATTAATGCCCGTGGATAGGAAAAAGCTGTATTCAGACTTACCAGGCCCACATATAAATTAGCCGCTAGCTAATTCTACCTCTGATTCACCTTCTCTTCAATTTTCTTTCCTGACACGAAACAACTCGCCTGGTCTCTTCTGAACATACATGGTTCCTGGTTTTTGCTTCCTCATACAACTAACCTGCCCTTGAGTTGATACAGCAGTCTGAAGTCAGCTGTGCTCTTTTGTTGTTGTTTTTGTTTGAGAATGAAACCTCTTTTGGGGGATCTCTTTTCTTTCCTTGGTCTGAGATGGAAAATATTGGGTCATAGGAAAAGTTATGCATTGTTTGCATAAAAAAAAAAAAACACAGAAAAATATGTCATGACTTTTCCAACGACCCAAGGCAAAGCACTAGTTCCCTGGTACATGGAGGTATTTCTGCAGTTAAGGGACCGAACAGCTTTGGGCAATAACTGAAGTTGCTCAGTAAGTCCTGAGCAAAGGGCCTGATGTCTCCACTGATGAGGGAATGAGGGATTCCGTTGGGCCCATGGCCCCTGAGGTCAGAGTCCGCGTCGGCTGTGCTAACATTGTCTCCTTTCTCCAGGTTGGTTTACAAGTGGTGCCTGCTGATCTATAAAATCAGCTATGCCACTGGCATTGTTGGCTACATGGCAGTGATGTTTACCCTCTTTGGTCTTAACTTATTATTCAAGTGAGTACCACTTACTTCTGCTCCTGCTGCTGTTTGGGGAGGAGTGGCTGGTCAGCTGTCTCTTCTTCCTGCTGCAGGTCTTGGGTATTAACAAAGGGAACGGGAGGCTCAGGGTAGATTTGTGGATGTGGAGGGATGAGGGAGGGTGGCAGTAAACAAGGAACGTCTGAATATACAAAGTCTGAGTCCCAAACCACTGGTTAGATTTTCTAAGATTTCTGGAAAAGTGTAATCATAGAAGAAAGCATAATGATGACTCTTTCCAGTTGCTGTAACTCTGTCCATCTCAGCAGAACCCTTCTGCTTGTCCATCTGTACTGTTAGTTTGCAGCATCTACCCTGCCTGAGTGGCCTCAAGTTCGACCTGACCAGGGCTTGACAGGCTATGCTCTGTGGGCCAGGTCAGCCCCACTACCTGTTTTTACAAAATACAGTTTCACTGGAACACAGTCATGCTCATCCATTACATACTGTCTCTGGCTGTTTACACTAAAACAACAGAGGTGAGTCTACATGACAGAGATCCTATGGACTGTAAACCTGAAATATTTACAGAAGTTTACTGACCCTTAGACTAGACCATCAACTCATGCAACCACCATTGGCTGCACCCAGCAACAGATCCACGCAGAAGGATCCAGGAAGCAGCAGTGTCTGCAGGGGTCTTCCCAGTAGTCCCAGAGCTGAGGTGTGAGGGAACGAGACCACGCAGATGGGCGTGGAGCCCCCCCCCTCCTGCCTAAGGGCCCCATCTCCCTGGGATGGTATCCAATTTCAGGAACGCCCCAGCCCAGATGCAGTGTGCTAATCACAGGTCGTGCTCAGTATGTGAGCTGTGTTGCCTGGGACACAGCGATGTGCCACCTTTATCACCTTAGGAAACAGTTCTAAGGCACGAACCTGTGGACATTTAAGTCTTGTTACATGGTTGGGCACTTGGGTTGTTTTCAGTTATTATGGGTAACACGGCTGTGTTCAGTTATTATGGCTAACACAGTTGCCCATACCCTATGTTTCAGTCGTTATGGGTAACACGGCTGTGTTGCTTCCTAAAGGTGCATCCTTAGGAATGGGATTCTGGCTGTTGCCTCATCTTGTCGTAAGTCTTTCAATGGATCTGTGCCAGCTAACAGACCCTCCCACCTTTTCCAGTTGAGGCAGAAGCTGAGAAATCATGAACTTGGGCTGGAGGGTACAGGGAGTGGGTAGGGTAGAAGAGGGTAGAAATGTAGCTTCCTGGATAAGGTTATGGTGGCTGAAGCCTGTGGCATTGAAGTTAAAGAGATTTTAGATTCAAATTTAAGTTCATGAATGGGATGACAACTGTTGGCCTCTTCTCCTAAACTAGTATACTAAAAGTAGGAGTCTCTTTTTGAAACTGAAAGGAGTTTATTTTAGGACAAGTGATAATAAATCCTATTTTATATAGTGAGAGAACACCCATGGAATTCTTTCTTCCAGGGGTAGTACAGGCTGAAAGAATAAACAGACTCCAGAAAGGTTTAAAGGAACCCATCCCTGTAGAGTCTAATACACCTCGTCGAAGAAAGCAAAGCTATTTCCAGGTATCTTCCTAACCTGTGTGGTTAAAAAAAATTAAAATCGAAACCCTGTATTATGTTGTAAAGATGTTTCTTCTGTAACTGCAGTTTCTCTTTACTTGCCTAAACTATACAAGTAAGAAAACAGAATTGAGAATCTGGACCGTTTTTATACTCCTGATCCTAACTGGTGAGAGATCAGTGATGTCTAGTCAGTGGATTCAATATTACAGCTACTGAGAAAAATTCAGCTTTCTCTGATAAACACAATTTATAGCTTTAGGTGAACACAACTTTTTGTACTGTTAACAAAAGTAGTTTTCTATAGCCATCGTTTATAGACTCAAAGTTGTAAATTATTGGTCCTTAGAATTGTTAAAACAAACCGTCTAATGTCAGAGGTGAGATCTTTTTCCTTTGACGTAAATAGACTTGGACCAAAATATAGCTTTTTTAAAAACTTAATTTTGCTATAGAATACATGCACTTGTTGGAAGCAGACAGAGAGAGAGAGAGAGAGAGAGAGAGAGAGAAGGTGATGAA